AAGTCTGCAGGCAGTCAATTTGGACATTTTACTACACTAAGCGATATACCAAGTTCTTGAGCAAGGACTGGAACTTCTGCACCCGACCCTTCCACATCGTTACATGCTGATGCTGCGGTTTCAGCACTATTCCTATGATGTAATGAGCATTTAATCAAAGGGATATTCATAAGCTTTCAGTTAGAGACTCTAAGGTCCCTTTCACACCTGGCCATTCCGCTGCGCCTTGGTACTACAGAGACATTAATGTGTGGCATTTCACACTTTAAAGAGACCCTGTCACCAGAACATTAATTTCAGCCTCAAGGATTATATGTGCATTAACCTCTTCACGACCCATGATGGGATAATGCCATCATGGGTCCTTAAGGGGTTAAAAAGAAGGGACTCTGTTCATATTTGTAGATCCGATGGCCGGCATTACAGCACAAGCGATTCTGGTGACTCAGCTGTCGCCAGATCACTTCTACGGGCCGGTAAAGTGGTTGCCCCCCGCCTGACATCCCCTCCATGTTTTCCGGGCTCCGCTGCCCCTCCTGCGGGTCCGGCATCTTGGGTGTCGGCGGGAAGCTGGGGAGGAGAGTGGTGAACGTCTGTATACCGTTCTCCTCCCCTATGGGATCGGGAGCAAAGTGTATTGCATCACTTCCGGTCCCTGAGCTGTCATTGCTGGACTCCTGAAGCCAAGCAATAAGCTATTGAAGTGCGATCTGCACTTCAATAGCTTATTTAGAGTGAAAAGGTGATACTAGGGGTCTTTTGGACCCCCAGTATCACCTTAAAGAGTACATGTCACCACCAATTTGCTATCACATGGGGGGGCTTGTAAGCTGCCCTATGTGACTGCAATTAAAGTAGAAAAAAACAGTTTTAATAATAAATAAAATAAATGTAAAAATAATGAAAACATTTTTTTTTGTGCCCGCCCCTGCGAGCACACGTGACTTCACGTAAAACACGCGTCGGGTGTGCCTACTTATGAAAACGATGACTGTGCTACACATTGGGTATCGCTGCACATGCCATAGTGAGAGCAAATCATTCTAGGGTCAATATTTACGCACATCTCTATCTAATGACCTGTAGGGGCTTTTAAAGTGCCATCTATGGACTTTTTGGGGTACTGAATTTTGGTGCAGTTTCACGGACGCACACAATTTTAAACCTGGGCATACTGGGTATCTATTTACTTGCTGTAACCTCATCTTTTATATTTTAGAGAAAAAAGGGTTTTATATAGTGTTTTGGGGCACTACATTTTGGGGGTGTGATAAGTTGCGCTAAAGTCGTGCAACATAAACGTTTTTCAACTGCCAACATGCTATTCTACAAGGCCTTGGCTTTCAGAAAATATATAATGTTTGGGGGTTTAGAGTAATATTCAGGCCAAAAATGTGGATTATAACATGTAAACTAAAAAAAGGCCTTTGTCCTTAAAAGAGAACTATGGCGTAAGTGTTTTTCCCCATAGTTCTCTTTAGGGTCACGGGAGGACATACACTAACCTCCTCCAGTGACCCAAAGATCAGTTTATCGCGGGATATTGCCCGCGATATACTGTGAGCGCCGCAGCCGGGACGGATCCCGACATTACTGTCGAGATCCACCCAGCTGCGTGAGTGACAGCTGGCTCTGCCTATCTAGAGGCAGAGCCAGCTGTGCCCGCCCCCTCCCCTGTCCGTTCCTCCACTCAGCGCTGGAGGATCGGAGAGGTGAGGAATCCCTGTGGGCAGCGGTGACTGACAGGGAGACAATCGAGAAGTGAGCAGAGCGCTGCATTTTTCTGCTCACTTCCCGATCAATAAAGCCCACCTGTGACAACTTCTTTGTCACAGGTCGGCTCTAACTATGAGGATGAGTGGAAATCACTCACCTCATAGATCTCCTTTAAGGGGTTAAAAATATTTTATGCATATTTGTGTAGACATCCAAAATGCCTGAGACAGTTGCTGAGACAGTGACGCCCCCTTGGATGTGATTTCAGCAGCCCCAGAGCTGTCATTCAGGTGAATCTCCATTGTATTCCCCTTCACTCCTCCCTCGGCAGCTACATAAAAGGCTATGTAGATAAGTGAGGGGTGCAGGAGCTGGGCCAACAAAGAATGCAACTGGAGGGGGCTATGGCGTGCCAGGATGGAGGGGAAATGTGGCTGTGTTAGGTAACTGACCCTTCCTGGAGGGGTTGAATTCCTAGAACGTTCGAAGGCAGGATTTGAGTGAATAAAAATGTTAATGAAAAGTAAAAAAATGTTGCAAGTAAGAATTTAACATACTTGATTTATCTGTGCTTTTACCTGCAATTTTTAAGTTGGCGATAGGGTTTCTTTAATGTGCACCGCATTTAGAACTGGCTCCCAATACAAGTCAACAGAACAACAACTGGCCTTTTTTGTGCAGACCACTGCAGCAATGGTATGAGCATCAGGACTTCAGAAATCAAAAAGCATATCAGAGACTGGAGAATTTACTCTGCCTTTCCTGATCTGCAAGCTTGTTACAGGACAGTGACTCAACATATTTAAGTAACAAAGCCAGGCCATTCGCATTTTCAGAAGGTAGTCAATTTCGAAGTAAATCTTTCATTACATAAACGTGGAGACTACCACTGCTGACCTCCTTAGATTTCATTTGTAGGGGTAGGCTGGGATGGGAAAAAATGCAGCTTGAGGGATATTGGGTGTGGAAATAGTGGGAAGAGAAGAACATTTCCCTCTAACCACCTCTTGTCTCAGTTGCCCTTCCCTTTAGATTGTAAGCACTCAGGGACAGGGCCCTCCTTACCATCTTGTCTTGACTTGTATTGTAACTGCAATGTCCTCCTTATATTGTAAAGCGCTGTGCAAACTGTTGGCGCTATATAAATCCTGTATAAAAATACAATAATAATAATGGAAGTAAGATGGGAGTGGAACTCAGCAGGGAAAGGGTTGGGAACTCAGGGAACATAGTAGTTTATAGAAGATAAAAAAATTGTTTTATGCTTCCAGATGAGCTCATAGGAAGTGACAAGGACAATGTATTTCTGGTAAAAACAACAGGTATTTTCTGTACTCGCTGAAAATGTTCTTAGCCTTTAAATGAAAACTAATACAACCTCCACATTTGAGAACTGGTAAGCTGAAATTTGTTAAATGTTCTTCAGTTTAGATATCTTTCAAAGCATACCTCATCCAGCAATCCCCCCAAAACATATATTTACCTGTTCTCCCACCTTCCAGATTATCGCTGTGTGGCCTGCTGAGAGCAACACAGCCTCCTCTACAAAAGTCTCTCAGCCAGGTTCTGCTTCTTCCTCACATGTACAGAAGAAATTCCATTTATTACTATAGAAAAGCTGTCTAATTTGTCCCAATGGTGAACATCATTTGCACAGGTATTTTTTGAGATTTTTCCGCACTTGAAAGAAGCAGACCTTGGTTGTGAGATTTTTTGAAGAGAAGGTTGTGTGGACCCCAGTGGACCACACAGCAAAGATTTTAGGGGAAGTGGGGACAAGCAGGGGGGATGCTGGTATGGGACATTTGAAGAATAATTGTACTAAAAGTACCCTTTCAAGCCAGTGCCAGCATTAAGAGAGAACTATGGGGGTAACCTTTTTATCCCTTAGTTCTCTTTAGGGTCATGGGAGGACATATACTAATATCCTCCCATGACCCATAACTCAGTATATAGCAGGCTATAGAGCGCTGCAGCTGGGACAGATTGCGACAATACTGTTGAGATCCACCCCGCTGACTCATTGACAGCAGGCTCTGCCTATCTAGAGACAGAGCCAGCTGTGCCCGCCCCCTCCCTGTCCATCCCTCCAGTCAGCGTTGGAGAACTGGAGAGTGGAGGGGGGAAATCCCTGCGGGGAGCGGTGACTGACAATCACCGCTCTCTGCAGGGTGATGATCACGAAGTCAGCGATCGGCAGGATGTGTTCGCTAACTTCCTAATCAATAGAGCCGACCTGTGACATCTTCTTTGTCACAGGTCGGCTTGAATTATGGGGATGAGTGTTTTTCACTTACCCCATAATTCTCCTTTAAGAGCCAGTCTACTAACAGTTTCAGGTATAGATCAGCAAAAAGGAAAAAAAGTTATTGCTGCAACTGCTTAAAAAGTGTAATCTGGAGTTCAGATTTAATTTGTTAGTCAAGTCCATCGAAATCTGCTAGTGCATCTAACACTACCCTCCCCACAGGGTGACCATTCTGTTGTCCAAGCGTGGCTCCATTGCTCCTCTATAAAGTGGAGCCACCCTGAGACAGAAAGCGTGTTACTGGCCGGATCACAAAGTGAAAATAATAAAAAGAAAAAAGCATAAAAAAGAAAAACCAATGCAGCTGCCACATTTAAGGATTGGTAATCTGCAATAAAATAAAGTTTTGTTTTTGGATTTAGATATGCTTTAAGTATGAGATAAGCTGAGTAGATCTGTGATTGGACAGCATGACGGCAATTAATTTGCAGTATTTATTCCAGGTATGGCTGTTTTGGCTACTGATGCACTAACTGGCCCTTGTAGCCAATCCCCCAGCACAGCATCATTCCTTCTCAGTTAGTAAATGCAGTCAGAGAAATCTAAACATAGCTGTGAAATGTTGGTATGCAGCCTTTAAAAGTAACGTGTATAAAAGAATATAAGTCAGGTTGGTTAACCCACTGGATGTGACACACAGAGATCTCCCAAAATAGTTATTTATTGATCTAACCTTTAACACACAAGTGATACAGAGTGAATTCCCTTATCAGCCAGGTTACTCCCTATCTAAGTCCGCTTATGGAAGGAGTTCTGCCCTCAAAGCAACTAAATACAAATACACGCAGAGCTATTGGCAAATATGCTTGAACATAGAGAGTTCTCTTTATTTCTGCTTCAGAGCAGCCTCCGGAGAGAGAACTAGAAAGTCTAAAAACATTCCGATTTAGGTAAAGATTTACTGTGTTTTTACAGCTTAAGTGTACCCGATCAATAAGTTAACAGGAAAAGTAGACTTTGACATTGCACTGCTTACCGGATTCCAGTGTTTGAAAGGACAGCCAGTCAGTGAAAGCGGAGGGGCCCACTTCGTTAGTGCACTGCAGACGGATGCTGTGATTCATCAGTGGTTTAAGTTCTTCTATGGTGGCGTTATAAGGAGGAACATTGACACGCTGCAAGTACATGTCGTAGGAGTCATGTAATATTAGAACCTAAAAGATAAGAGGAGGATGCTGTTAGGTGACAACCACTAAAACTGGGACTGTGGTGTGTAACACAACCTTTGATGTTAAAATTATGTATAAAGCTAGGCATAGATGAGCAGATATTTCCCTTAGGTCAACAGGTGGATGTTCGTTGTCAACAGTGCCGCCAGGGCCAATCATGCAACTGTACCGATTGAATAAAACAGTACAATCCCTCTTTGCATTAATTAAAAAAGGATTGGGAAGGTTGAAACCAGATTTTCTAACAAATTTAAAAATCTCCAAGAGCATGGAGTCCCCCCCCCCCCTCCCATCTACCATTAGTATGGTGGACAGGAGGTAGATAATGTCGTCAGACAGTCTGGACCTCTGCCCTTGTAAATGCTGCGGGGGGAGTCATGGATACAGCCCATCCTGAATTAATATCATGTATTTTTATGGTGCTGGTGGCCAGCTCTTCTGCACCATGAAAATGCATGCTACTGTGTGAAAATTTGAAGGCACCCTTGACAAAGCCATAAGGCAACCCAGGGTGCCATGGCTTGCTGGATGAGAAGGCAAGGGGCCCCCCCCCCCCTCCCATCTACCATTAGTATGATGGACAGGAGGTAGATAATGTCGTCAGACAGTCTGGACCTCTGCCCTTGTAAATGCTGCGGGGGGAGTCATGGATACAGCCCATCCTGAATTAATATCATGTATTTTTATGGTGCTGGTGGCCAGCTCTTCTGCACCATGAAAATGCATGCTACTGTGTGAAAATTTGAAGGCACCCTTGACAAAGCCATAAGGCAACCCAGGGTGCCATGGCTTGCTGGATGAGAAAAGCGGCTTTACACCATGGCCTAGGGTGCCATAAGTGCAGGGTCAGCACTTCCCTGCCATAACAGTGCATAGCCTATAAGTTGATTAGTCACTGCTCTGTTAGTTGGGCAGTGAGTTGCCTATCTGAAGTCACTGCAAAGTCCTCAGGTTGCTGCTTGGACTTGTAGTTGGAACAATGTGTAATTGTAGCACCTGTACCATCATGAGAGGTGGAAGTAAAGGAAAAGCATAGCAGTTGAAGAAAGGTAGTATGTGTGCATTCCTAGTGGATTCTCACAGTAAATTTCTGAAAACATGAAGCCCCTGGATCTTTACTGCGAGCCAGCACACTCTGTGCACTACAGAACACCTCTCCTCCCATGTTATAGAGAGGGTGAGGTGATCTGTATTATTATTATACAGGATTTATATAGCGCCAACAGTTTGCGCAGTGCTTTACAATATAGGGAAGACGAATGAACGATGAATTGTTTGACAACGTGATGGTTGAGTGGTTAGGTTGAGGTGGGATAGGCTTCTCTGAAGAGATGAGTCTTAAGGGATCGCCTAAAGGCAGTCAGAGTGGGAGATAGTCGGACAGGTTGGAGTAAAGAGTTCCACAGGATGGGAGAGACTCTAGAGAAGTCCTGGAGGTGAGTATGGGAGGAGTGGACGAGGGAGCTGGAAAACAGGAGGTCTTTGGAAGAGCGGAGGGGACGGTTAGGGTTATACTTTGAGACAAAGGTTGAGATATAGCCGGGGGCAGAGTACTCCTGTATACTTTTCATCTGTACTCCTGTACATCTGTACTCCTAGTATACTTTTTATCCTAGGGTGACAACGCTGCTACACCTTGGATACAGTATAGTGAGTGAGGGTTGTCACCCCAGGATGAAAAGTGTGATCACTAGCTAAAAAGAAAAGAACAAAAAGTTAAAAAAAGAAAAACTAATGTGCTCAAAATATCTAAGGACTGGTAAGATGCAGTATATTACATTTCTTTTTTAGTGTTTAGATATGCTTTAAAGACTACTACCCAAGATTTGGTTTCCAATAGTAGTAGTTAGTAAAAATGCAAACTGCACAGATTTTCAGTTCATATCAAACTATTAAAAGTTACAAGCGAATGGGCTGCATGGATTTTTTTTCCTGCTGCACTACCTTGTTAAAGCGTAACTCCAGGCAAACAGCTAAATACATACTTAAAAACGTGTATGGTTTGCCCACCAAAGCTTCTGTATTTTTCTCCAGCCCGCTTCATTATTTATCAAAGCCCTGCCAGACAGCACAGCCAGGTCAGCAACCTCTTTTCTTGTGTGCCATTAAGCAATACAGCCTAGCCACCAACCTACCCCCAGCCTCCTCTTCTGAAAGGATGTTCAGATTGTTAATTGAAGGCACTGTGCAAAGCAACCAAGTTCTAACTGGCTCAGGGTCCAACCCCCCTTGTTGAAGATGATTTGCATTTTCAGGACATATTCAGGTATATATGAAAAATTATGTGTACAAATGCAATGTTTTTATCCTATTCGGATGATGGTTTCAGATACAAGCATCCAGGAAAATCCCAATAGTGAAGAAGGGTCATTCCTACTACCATTTGACTGATATGCCATGCGCTATATACTCTTGCGAATGTCATACAGTCTACTCCTCAAGGAAGTGTTTATTCATATAAATTTATTACATTAGCTGTCAGTATTCAAACGTTTTGCCATTTTGCTTTATTATGTTTATAAATTTTTAATATTTTTTATAATGATTTTTATTTGTTTTATAAATTATTAATTTATGTTAAAATTAATAAAAGTATATTGAAACAGAAGAACACTATTTTTTGGACATATTTATGTATATAATGCTAGTTCTATCTAAAAATATATTTTTTTAAAATTCAATCTAGAAATAGCCAAAGGTCTTCACCGAAGATAAAAATCTTTATCTATGGCGCAAATACATACGGCTTGTTCCTCCCCATGTGTGCTCAACCCTCTAACATGTTTCACCATTCCGGCTTACTCAGAGAGATCTCTATGAGTAAGCTAGATTGGCGAAATGCGTTAGTAGTTGAACACGTTTAGGGAGGAACTAACCGTTTGTATTTGCTCCATAAATAAAGATTTTTTAAATCTTTGGTGACAACCTTTGGAGTGCGGCTATCTCTGAATTTGATTGCTGTAGGCGGTGGCATGCTTGTTTGCTTGCATCTGGGATGCAATCACAGTGTGAACAGGTTCTGGAATATAAGCAGTGTTTTGCTGTGGATGACAAAAATTAGAATAAGGAAGAACAAAACTATCTACATCATGATCTGCTTTAAGAGTTTTAACAGATAAATCCATAGAAAATGAAAAACTCTAAATATCTATTTTCTAACCTGTAGCCATTTTTTTAAGCAAAGTCTAATGTTGTAAGTGCCCCTGTTTATCCAGATCCTATCCCTTAAACATGATATTGGTCACAACAACGTCATAGAATGACTCTAGATTTTGTGTGCTATTCTAGGAGATGGTTTACGCTTAGAACAGGATGCTACATATGGGGGAACTACTGAACTACATACAAGTGGTCTATTCCAACATAATTAGTGGAAAATACGAACTAATCTGCTTGAGGGGAAACTGGTATCTCAGGAGGCAGAAACTCTGAGAACTGTGCAATAGATCTAAACGTCTGGGAGAGAGAGGGCATTATTAAATGATGCTAGAAATGATGCTAAATCATCCTCATGTGGTTTCAGAACCAGCCCAACGTTTGGTCCTCTTGAATATGTACGGTAAATAGAAGATGAACTACATGCAGTGAAAAGAGCCCCTTAAATGTGCTGTGCTAATCCACTCAATGGCGCTTATCTCCTAATACTATATAGTAAAATCCTTGGCACGTTTAAAGAAGAACTCAATTGGGTCCTATTTTCATTAAAATCTGCATTAATAACCCCAAGGCAGTTACAAAAAGACAGCAACTTTTTCTGTAAAACATAGATCCTGTTAGTCACAAATGTATGGAATTTAGTCAATACATCTTTTCTCAGTAAGGAGGTCGGATGAAGCAAAGCCAGTGGGAGTCAGACAGAAGCTGCAAATAGCTATAACAAATGGGGCCCTCGGGGGCAATGCATCTTATTTCTTCCTACAGCCATGCATACATTACAATGTGTTAGGTTTAGTATTTTTGTGTTGACTGTAAACAGCATTGATGAGCTGGACCTATACTCAAATGTGACAATTTTATATTAAGGTAGATGTTAATCTAGCATTGTGTTTATTTCTCTCGTAATAAATTACATTTAAAAACCTTTTTGGGGAGTTTTTTTTTAGTGGTCACATCATGACCACCATTGTACAGTTTCTGTACCTACTGGGCAAGGGTGACAACACCAATACTCCATTACAAGGCAGTGGGTTTGCACTATCAACCTGTTCCAAGAAGCCCATTAGACAATGTTGTAACTGGAAGGATCTCCAGGTAAGGAGTAAGGGGAGAGTACTAAGCACAAAGAAAAAGCTGAATTCCACCCAATAAAATACAACATAAAAATCTTTATCTATGGCGCAAATACATACGGCTTGTTCCTCCCCATGTGTGCTCAACCCTCTAACATGTTTCACCATTCCGGCTTACTCATAAAGCTCCTCTATGAGTAAGCCGGAATGGGTTAAATGCGCTACAGGTTGAGCACACATGGGGAGGAATAAACCGTATGTATTTGCTCCATTAATAAAGATTTTTATTTTGGGGGGAAGACCTTTGGAGTCCGGCTATTTCTAGATTGGGTTCTTATGAGCGACGGCATGCTTGTTAGTGTTCATCTGGGATGCAATCGTAGTGCACGCCGGTTCTGGAATGGGAGTGTTGTTTGCTGTACATATTTTTTTTTTTTTTAAATAACACAAAATTAGAATAAGGAAGAACAAAACTATCTACATCATGATCTGCTTTAAGAGTTTTAACAGATAAATCCATAGAAAATGAAAAACTCTAAATATCTATTTTCTAACCTGTAGCCATTTTTTTAAGCAAAGTCTAATGTTGTAAGTGCCCCTGTTTATCCAGATCCTATCCCTTAAACATGATATTGGTCACAACAACGTCATAGAATGACTCTAGATTTTGTGTGCTATTCTAGGAGATGGTTTACGCTTAGAACAGGATGCTACATATGGGGGAACTACTGAACTACATACAAGTGGTCTATTCCA